TCTATGATTCTATGATTCTATAACAAAACAGTAGTTTGTTGTTTTGTTGGGTTTTTTTTACGCTAGTGTGGGGTTTAAAGAATCCTCTGTATTCTAATGGAGAATTATTTTCCTTTAGTGGAATTGTGTGAAGCAACTTATTTTTTCCAATAGGAATTCTAATTGCTGCTGAAACACATTCTGTACTTAGAAATCTTTACCCTTGTAAGCAAATTGACAGCTGATTCCTGTTAGAAGTGGAACCTCTTGTCACAGAGACAGAGTGCTAGCTGGCAGTCTTGAATTACTGGGGAATTTTTTGTCTCATAAAAGAATGGTGTGTGGGGAACTTTTAAAATCCTTTTGTGCCTTCAGTTAGAAGCAAAGTAACTGGTTAGCAGGAACCTGTTGGAAAAGTGAAAGATGCTGTATGGGGAGGGTAAGGAAGGTGGCTTATGTTATGGTGATCAAACTAAATCTTTAGTTTTATGGAAAGGTTCTCCTTTAGGGCAGAGAGGATCCTTAGTGCTAGTTTTTCTGTGGGTGGGAGGTTGGTGAGATTTTACTGTCCTCTTTATCAGAAATGGTGTAAGTTACTGACTGCTGTTTGGGTTGTAACTATTGGGGTTTCTGTTTCAGGTTCCATCGGTCCCTGAAGAGTTGTTTTTTACCACTGATGTCAGGCAGGAAGGATTGATGATGGACACTGTGACATCTGCTCAGGCTTTGGTGAGTTAGTGCAGCAGCATGTCCTCTGAATCTGTGGGTAAGGGTGGACGTACCACGGCCTCAGGAGTTTAAGATTTTATCAGGAACTTGGCTTCAGTGCAGCTGCATTGAGCATATGTAGGCCAATGGATGTGATGCCCCGGTTTGTCCAAGCGCCTCAATTGCATTGCATCCTGGATTGTAAACTGTGTGTGTTACAGCTCTGGGGCTGTTGTCAGGCAGGAACCATCTCACCTGCTGCAATGGCTTGCAGAATAGGTGCAAAGTTATGCTGGAGGATCAGGTGCTGTTTTCCTACTTACTGATTATTGCAGTAAAAGGTGAACTGATAGAACTGTAGCACTTCCCAGAAATAAGTAATAGTAATGGTGAACTCAACAGAGATTGTAAGATGGGACTGTAAGAGCAAGGTTGTTGTCTTTGGGGTCACCTGTTTTCCAGTTGCATGATAAAGGGTAACTGAACTGAAAATAGTATGAGCAAGCAGAAAACGAGGTGAGTTTATGGCATGTGTGATGTTTCAGATAACTCCCAGACATGCAAGAGAATACATAGCATTCCTTGAAGAATGAGCAGTATATTTATTAAGACATATGTGTATCTTGTTCTAATTAGAAAGTTCTGTTTTGCACTATCTCGTCAGTGGCAGAGATAAGGATGCAGAGATCAACTGATTTTTTTTCCAAATGAGGGCAGTACACACTGCCCGCATGGATCGGATCTGAAGTTGCTTTTCTTCCCATGCCCTCTGGCTGCAGTGTGTAATACTAGGGTGACATTACTCCACAGTGCGGTGTTCCAGTGAGTCTGGGTGAAGACACCTGTGGAGGTGTAACGCATAGCAGATGTGCCTCATTTATTCTCCTCCATGGATAGGTTTCTCTTTTATGAGTAGCAGCTGTGGCAACAGTCCTGGTTCCCTTCTGTAACCATGAGCTTTCAGCTGGGCTTTGACAGTGGTCAGAAGCAAAGGTTGAGCTCCACTGACTGAGTGCAGAACAGCTCATTGTGTATTACAGGGCTGGACTGAACGCTTGGGCTGAAAGTTCATAATTTTACTGTGGATTTGGAATCCAGTTATTTTTATTGTTTTCATGGAAAGGCAGTTCTGAAACCTGCCTGTGACCATGCGCGTGGGATTTCTGACTTGCTGAAGACTGTTTCTTTCCTGCTGTGTCCTTTCAGCATTTCCTTCCTTTTCTCACCAGGACTCTGTACCCTTGGTGGATCAGCAGTTACTCTATACCTGCTGTCCGTATCTTGGTGAGTGTTTTATTTATATTTGCTATATAAATAACATATATTAGTATATCTTTTATTTTTATTTGTATTTTTTATTTTTATTTATATTTGTCCTTTGGTACTGTGAGTCCTCGGATCATCTTTCTTACCCTTCCTCACAACTTCAGGTCTCAGTTGTGTATGAGTCAACCTTGATAAAAAGCTGTATTGCAGAAGCTCTTGCAGCTGTGAATAGTGTCTGGGGAAGCTGGGCGGGAGGGGGGGTAACGGGAGGGAGGCTACACAGTCAGGATAGGTGATCTACATAGCTTGAACACAGAAGGACAGGGGAACTCAGCCTTCACAAACTGGAAGGAAGCATTATAAGGAGTAAGTGTACAACTTTTCCATCCTAGATGTAGGGAGAGGTGTTTGTACTGTGAGGAATGCCTTGATCCTTGAGCATATCTCTGCTGCCAGGCAGAGGGGAAGAATCCTTTTGTACCTTGGTGCTTTATCAGGTTGTTGTTTGAGATATCTTTTTCCTGGGATCTGACTGCCATTGGTGAAATCCCTCGCTGTAGACAGTAGAGTCCCAGATGATGGGATGGTGCTATGCTTCTTGGAACTTAGCTTCTAGGAAAACTGTATGTTAAACCTGCATCATGAAAGCTTCTAGGGGTTGAACATGTCTTCAAGCTTTTTCCCTGGTATTTTCTCCTGACCCTGTTGGAATTTTGTGTAACTCTGCTTGCCTTGTTGTCCTTGTAGACTTTCCAATTCCCGCTTGCCATGCCAAAAAGGGATGCATAGAAATGACTGCTCCCTGATCTTCTGAACAAGTCCTATGTGCCAGGGAGCTTTTTGGAAGCCTCCTCTGTTATCTTTGGAGCCTTGCCTGCCTTGCTATGCCCTGCCAGTTAAATGGGTGTGATGCGCCTCTGCTTTTCTGAAACTTCAGCTTTTACAGAAGCTGAGAGAATCTGCTCTGGAAACAGGACTGACAATGTGAAAGTCTCTCTCTTGAGTTTTGATTTGTTCCCTTGCTTATGGGGACGATGACTGCTTTTGCATGTTTTTCTGTACAGGTGAGCTGCGGAAACTACTTGCCTCTTTTGTGGCTGGTAGTGGAGCAAAAAATGGTGGCTTTATAAGGAAAATCACTCCCACAGCTGCAGAGTCTTTGGCACCCAAGGCTTCTGTCACGCAGCGGAAACTGCAGGTAATGAAATTAGGGAGTCACAAGGGAAAGCAGGGCAGGGAAAATTGCTTCTGTGAGGGTAGGATACACAGTGGTATCCTAATGCCAGGGAAAGAAAAGAATGGGCTTAGGCAGCAGGGAACATTGTGTTTAACGGTCGGGTATCCTTACTCCTCATTCTTCTGTTATAGTCATGTGGCTGGGATACCATGTGGGTGTTGAAATCCAGATTAACTTCAGTAAATGTTTTTGCAATTGGAACAATTAGCCTGTTTCTCTGCCTGCCTCTTCTTTAACATAAAATATTGGTATGTTTCTCAGACTCTCTTTTGGTTAGATTGTAGCCACACTTTCCACAGAAAGAACGAACCGTGTAGGAGCCTACAGGATTACCAGCCTGTAATTAAAAGAGAGGATCCTTTCTTTCCAAAAACAAACCCTATGTGGTGACTCACTACTAGTAGGTGCTGCCATAACTCTGCCATTCTTCCCTTTACTGGGCATTTGCTTTTGCAGCTTCATAAACCCTGATAATGAGCTTTGGGTTAAATGGTTAGAAGGAAATAGGGAGCAAATATTTTACAGGGGTGCTGAATGCTACAGTAGCAGAAAGTTCTAGTGTAGGCAAATTGCATGCCTTTTCACATAATTCCAGATGGTAGTTGTGTCCGTTCCTGTGTTGAGGAGAAGAGGATCTGGGTGGAGTGCTCTAATCAATTGTAGCACTTTTCTCTTGAACAGGTGGAGTTGGAACAGGCCTTCTTTCACAACCAGCCTCCCTCCCTACGGAGAACAGTTGAATTTGTGGCAGAGAGGGTGGGATCCAACTGTGTTAAGCACATCAAGTAAGTGCGGTGATCTGTTCTGTGACTTAAGTTAATGAGGCAAAGAGCTGATCTTTTAAAATTGTGTGTATAGGGGAAAAAGCTTCCCTCAGAGTATGCTCTATAGCAGAACACCAAGGCTATATAAGGCTATGACAGTGGGGTCAAGCAACATCTGATTGCCATCATAGAGGAGAATTTGTGAAGGGATGCAAAGAGAGGGGTTATATGACTGTGGGGCACTTGGGATGTGAACATAATACAGCATTTTGAGATTTTATATCCCTTTCAGAACATTCTTGCTAATGATAGGAAAATCTCGGGTCAGAAGGGACCTCTGGAGGTCATCTGATCCACACTTCTGCTCAAAGCAGGGCCAGCTTTCAAGTTAGGTCAGGTTGCTTGGCGCCTTTTCCAGTTGAGTTGTGAAAGTCTCTAAGGATGGGGATTCAGCAGCCTCTTAGTACCATGTTCGAATGCTTAATTTTCCCAGGCTTTGTGAAAAATGTTTCCTTATATCCTATCAGAATTTCCCTTGTTCCAGCTTGTGCATGTTGCCTGTCAACCTGTAGCTGCGCACTTCCTGGAAGCATTATTCTGTCTTCTCTATAAGCCTTCCTTCTCCCTTCACCTTCTCTTCTCCAGGCTAAGTGAAACCGGCTCCCCCAGTCTCCTTGTAGGTTGTATGCTCCAGCATCCCAGCTATCTTAGTGACTTTTTTTTTTTTAAATTTTTTTTTCCTCCTGTGGTCACTCAAATTGTCAATGCCTTTCTTGTACTGGGGTCCCAAAGCTGGGCAGTATACTCCAGATGCAGCCCCACAGTGGCGAGGGAGGCAGTAACTTCCCTTGACTTGCTGGCTGCACTGTTGCTAATGTTGGTCCACTGTGAGGTTGGCCGCCTTTGGACATACAAAGGACCCAGATCCTTTTCTGCAGAGCTGCTCCCTAGCCAGTAGACCCCAGCCTGTACAAGTACACAGTCACCACCCCATTGTCAGCCCATTTCTCCAGCTTGTCACAGTCCTTCTGAATGGCAGCCCTGTCCTCCAGCATGTCACTCGTGAGCTTGCTGAGAGTTTGCACTGTCCCGTTGTCCAACTTGTTGCAGACATTAAACGGTATCAGCCCACAAAGAATGCTGGTTGTAGTGGGCTGCTGTTGACATCTTTGAGGTTCTGACAACTATACGTTGAGAGTATAAGAGTATTGCTGCTGGAAGAGATACCTGTAACCATATATGTTTCTATTAAAACCTAAAGCTTTTGACTCTTGAGTCTTAGTACTATTTTGGTATCTTCACTGCTGCTTTCTTCCTTACAAAAAGAGCAAGGCGGTGGTACAGTACTAAACGCAGTGTGATTAATTCTTTTTTAGCAGAGCGGTTTATTGCATTTGTGCCTGGGAGAGGTGGGTATCCTCCTAAATTGGGGGAAACAGCTGGTTACAGTTAGTGTGCACTGTTGTATTGATTTCAGTCTGTCTGATTGTTCTTGGTTTTTTTACAGGGCAACGCTGGTAGCAGAGTTGGTTCAAAGGGCTGAAGTCATGTTGCAGGATAAAGTGAAGGAGGAAGATGCTAATCATGACAAGCTGCTTGAAGAGGTGTGCGCTCATCTGTATGAGGAAGGGGCCCAGGCACTCATCAAAGGCAGAGAGTAAGGAGGAAAAGTTATTTAAACTTGTGCCTTCCCGTCTCTTCTTACTGCAGAATCTATAAGCCTAATTCGGCTTGGCCTGTCATGCTCAGGTTCTGGTAATTATAAACCCTGACCTCTGCTCTTCTTAGGGTGACTGTCTGCTGCGCCTCCAGCCAGTTAATGCCATATTTGTAGGAAGGAATAAAGGTGCTGTGTGTCCCTCTGCATCCAGCTCCAAATGGACGTCCACTGCGGCTATTGTATTTCCCCTCTTTGGAAAATTGAGTATTGTAGCTTGATGACTTGGAATTGCTTTTTCCTTGTCTGGTTCTTTTGGTCTGACTTATTTCACTGCAGTCTTCCAACTGGTTTTGACTGTAAGAGAGCGTGTGAAAGTTCCTACTGTAATGAACCTCTGAGTGTTGTCCAAGAACTTTAACTAATCCTGTGGCATGTTTTCATTCTCTTCTTGCAGATTTTGCAAAAAGAAAGGTCCTGAGGCGGTAAGGGTGTTATTGCCAGAAGAGACCTCTGCAGCAGTACGTATTTTCACTAAAACTTACTAAAGGCCTTGACTTTAAGTCTGGATCGTTAGCATTTTTCCATTGCTGCCTCACTTATCCCTTAATAGCTTAGGACAATGGAATCTATTGATGCTCTCATGTGAGGACTAATAGTTAAGGAGAGTCACCTCTGCCAGGCTGCCCTGGATATTCTGGCTAGAGTGGTACTCTAGCCGATAGCTAACTGTTGAGACTGGAATGGTATATAAATTGCGTCATCTTGCAAGGATAATGCTTTTGTTTTAGCATCAACTTCCCCGAGAATTGATGGGGTTTGTATGGGGTTGATGAGATTTGGGAAATCAAAATGGGTCAGTCCTATTGCTCAGAGTAGCAGTTCCCACAGAGGTGGTGGTGTTCTGTTTAAATGTTGCATGCCAAAATTAAGCCTTTTCCCTCTAGACTTCCTTCTGACTTCTCACTGACTATAGTGCTGTGGCTGGTAGTAAATCTCCTTTCACTTGTTATCCTTCCTGTAAAGGTTTTAAGTAGTGCCGAAGACATTGCAGTGGAACTGGCTACTGAGAAAGCCTGTGGCTGGCTTTCTGCCAACATTGCAGGTGAGTCTCCTTACCCTGAACTGGGGCTTCTAACCTGTCCATTGTACTCTTTTTCTGAGATCAAGGGGTAGAATTTATTCCAGTGTTATAAAGTACTTGGTCCTACTCATTTTTCTTTTAGTTGGAAGCATGCAGTTGCTCTGTCCCTCCTTGTTTAGGAATAAGAGGAATGATTTCTAGCTCCAAGAACCTTCTTCAGGGATTTTTCAGGCTTGGCCCATGTAAGTGATTTTTAGTTATGGAGGCTCATAGGATGGTGAGAATGAATGCTGTGGAAAGCTGCTTCTGAAAATGTTGTCTAGGCTGAAGTTGTCTTAGCACTTCAAACGTATGATACAGGCAGCTGCTCTCTCAAGCCACCTTATGGTCCACATGTACAGAGCGCTTCTGAAATCTTCTGTAAAACAAACACCTCTTGGACTGCGTGGGTTTTCAGCAGGCTGAAGGCAACTGTAGTCCTTTTACTCTGTAATAGTGCTCTGGCACCTCTTCAGAATCTCTGAAAACCCATTGTTTCAGGAGGTTGTGCCAAGAATCTGGGGAGGAATATCCAACACCGTTTGCGGTAGCAGGAGTTTAGTGTTTTGGATGCTGGTCAAAACTTATTTTGGTAGAAAACATACGGCTTTCATGGGCACAGTGGTTGAACTGGTATGGTCATGCTGATTCAGCTTTCTACTTTGGCATTGCTTCCTGGCTTAGCTACTGTGTTCATTAAACCCCCTGAAATATTTTGATGGAAAATGAGATGAGTTGCCAGTGGTGGTAATGGGTGGCTGCCTTTTAAAGCTGTGGGTTAACACACTCTCTGCACCTGTGCCTCTGCCCATTAAATATAATGGGAGCTTGAAGTGAGAAGGGTTTGAAAGCGTAAACTCTCCTTTCCTTGTTTGCCATGGCCCTCGGAATGAGAGGCTAATAAGGGTAGTGTTTGGAAACAGTTGCCTGCCTCGCTGGAGAGAAAAGCTGAAGTAGACAGGAGTTGTTCCCTGTTCTTTGTAGCGCTCATCAAAAGAGAAGTGAAGGCAACCTTCAACAGAATGCTGAAAGTCCCAGGACTTCCCTTGCCCGGCGAGGACGCTCTGGAATTGAGAAGGGACTGCCCTCCAGGCTGTCAGCACTGTGCTCCGTTTCCCTCCCAAATCATCAACGAGATTAAGGTACATGGTGTTCACTTCCTGCCTTGCATTAACTCCCTTTTAATTTTTCACCGTGGTGATTGTTTTTTGGTTTGTTTTGTTTTTTAAAAGGGGATGTTCTGGTTCTAAGTAGCTGGCTGTGAGGGGTGTTTAGGAAGCACGATGGAAAGGTCTCATGTTTTTTTCATCTCCCTGCTTCCTGTCTGTGCGTAGATCAGAGCTCCCTGGTCAGGAGTACTATCTCCTGGTAGCATGGCAGTGGCCTTTTTGATATGAGTAGCATAGAAACCATAGTGTGATGAGCGTTGTGTACAACTGTATGCTGAAGAGTCAGCATATCAAAATAGCTACTTTTTTGTAGACCTACTCTTTTTATGGAGAGTCTCCTGGTCTCCATTTAGAGTAAGTATTTCCTGTTGGTCCTTTCAGTTCTGTAGAACTTGGTAGACTGTCCTACACATCGTACACACTAGGAATTCTACATCGAATTAAGTGTCAGATGAATCTGTACGAATCTGTTGAAAGATTTTTGGATCTGCACCTTCATTCAGCCATAATTAGGGAGAATCAGAGTATCTTAAAAAAAAGGTAATGATATGGACTTAATTTCAGCCTTAGATCCAAGCAATTTTCTATTCTAGCTGGTTCAAATTACATTTTGGTGTTTTCTCCCAGGCTTTTAAAAGGTCACTGTTCTTGTAAAAATCATGCAATTATACAACCTGTGTGAGAAACCCATGAAGAAAAGAAGAATTCTAAAAACTTCACTTTTTTACCATTATATAGTCTGCCTATTTTTGTTGCTGCTTCTTGTCTGTTTGAGCAATAATACTGGATCTCACTGTCATTGCATTCCCAGCAATTGTATAAGAATGAGTACACATCCTTCAATACTTTCTTGCTTGAGATAAAGAAAAAGAGGAGGGTAAGGTATATGAGGAAACCAGATTTTTTTTCTGTAAACTGTTGCTTTTTGAAGATATTTTTGTATGGCATCTTCAGATACAGCTTTTAAAATATTTTTTTATTCTTTTGATTTCCATCCTGGGTTTCTGATATTGGGTGGTAAATCGCTGGTGATGGAAAGTGCTCCACATGTAAAATTTGCTAAACCAGTTTTCATGCCATAACCCTATTAGTGCTCTTCATACTCAGCTTTTATTGACACTGATGCTACCTTGACAGTATAAGAGGACTCTGGATTTCTGTAGCACTTCTACCCTGAACTTGCTTGCTGTGCTATCAGAATTATCTAGAGCTTTCAGAGCTAGTTACTTTTAAGAATGATGAACTGCTTGCCCTCATTGGCTGACTTCATAACTTCAGTGAGAACTATGGTAGAAAATCAGAGCTAGGTAAGGTTGTGAAAAATTCAGCTTTAATCCGTCTTATGAAATGAGGAGGATACTAGCTTAATTTTTTTTGTCTTTTTTTTATGAGGACCCAAGGACTATCTATGAACGGCTCTGTCATAGGTCCAAAGATCTGTTTGTGGAAGTGTGGGATACTAATAGGTGAATTACTGCTGTCTTTTTCGTCAAGGATGTGCTCTGTGTTGCTGTGGGCCCACGGGACGAGGGTGAAGTGATTGACTACATCTGGCTGGAGTGCCTGCTAGGAAGATTGAGTCAGACACTTCGATGCAGAAAGGTAGAAGTAAAAAAAGCAACAAAAAAACTCTTGGACCACTTTGAGCTGTCTTCATACTTGTAAACTTGTTAGCTTGCCTTGCCTCACAGTTCGGTTCACTTGAATGGTTTTTGTCTGAGCTCAAATGTGACAAAGTTGCACTGCATTTCTTTATACTGCGTAGATCTGCTTCTTACTTAAAATTAGCCTCTGTGGATCCCCTCTTCATATATGATTTTTTTCTTGTCTTTCAGTCTTTAATGGTCTCCTGATTACAGCTCTGTGCTTCTTGCTGTAAATTGCCTGCTCTTCTCTGACATTTTTATCCCTTGTGAAGCCCTGTTTTGTCCAGTCTGCAATATGGGGACAAAGATACAACTTTTTTTTTTGTGTTTTCCAGTTCATGTGTCCCACATCAGAACAGCAGCTGGCGAAGTGCACGGTTGAGTTGGCTTCTTTGCTGGGTAAGTCAGTCATGATAAGCTATTTAAGACTGAAATCTGTTATTACAGTTCTCTTAAATCCTTGGGGTCAGAGACTTCAGTATTTAGAGCTCATGGATGTTTGATTCTCTGTGGTGTCATTGAGTCTGCAGATTTTCTTCTGTCAGTTTGGGTGGTTGCTCTTATTCCCTTCCACCTTCTGCAAAACAGCATTATACTTTGACTAACCATCCTTCAGATTTGGTGTTCTATTCACATCTCCATTGTTTTTTATTTGTTGGTACCTTCCTTTAAGTAAGTGATGTTTTCAAGTATTTCTGCCTCTGAAAAGTTGCAGCTGAGTGGTTTTTTTCCCTAAAAGTAAGGGCCTGTTCCCTTAAATTGTATTTTTATGGCTCTTTTTGGAGAGAATGGAACTAACTTGTTTTCTGTGTATTGTGACTTCTGTGAGTGTTCTCAGGTTTTTTTTTCCTTCCTGCTCTACTGTGTTAAATACAATGTTTTTCTCAGCAGGAGCAAGTGATCTGGATGCAGGTGTTTTCTCCCTGGGCAACCTTCTAATTTCCTGGGTTTAGAACCTTCTTAAGAAGTTTTATATATGGTTCGTTCTTTCAGAAAGCAGTTCACACCTGAATATTGTGAAATTTCATTCGGGTTGGGGCAGCAATGCAAATCTGCCCTATTCCATTAGTCTGTACCAAGGAAGATCTGGTATCTTCCCTCTGTGTATGTTCAGCTGCAGTTAAACAGTTCAGCTTTACTTTGACTTGTATAAAGTTATGCAACTCTGCCTATAGTCAAAGCTATAAACAACTATTTAATCTGTTTATAGATTTAAATGTTGTTTTACTGTGTTACTCTCCTCTCCTTTGGAGTAACACCTAGGTCCTCTTTTATTAAACATTAGGCTGACTTTTATTTAGTCAGTCGTCTTTCAAGACTTGGGGCTATATGCCAACCAAATGGTATTCTTTATCTGAGTAGTATAAATCTCTTCCTATGTAATACTTGTTTGTGTAGTTTCAAAGCTCATAATTTTGCATGTTTCTAAAATCCAGTCCTCTTAGGTTCACTGGTTTACTCACTTCAGTGATTGTTTAGATGCCAGCTATGCGAAATGTGCTGTTGGACCAAGGTGATGACTATATAAGGAAAATAACACAGCTATAGAAGTTCACCTTTCTTCCTTTTCTTACAGTTTCAGATCGTGTTCCTCTGAGTCTTGGGATCAAGTCCCCAGAGAAGAGCTCTGAGAGGCTGCGTGTGAAGAATAATCCTACCTATGGCCTTCTAAAGCTGCTGCTTTCTCTCTGGAAGGAGGACTTTGGGACACCTGTTCCTGTGCAGCTGATGTTCAGCAAGAAGAACATCGGTTATCTTGCAGAAGTTAAGCAGCGAGAGGTAAAGCTTATTCCAATCTATGGAGCTGCCAGTTATCCACTCTGGTCGGACATATGCATGTATGTTAACTGATTGCTTGCGTGAATGAGGCCAGCAGGATTTGCTCTGCTGTTAGCTGGCGTTGTTTCTGCAGGGGTAGAGAAAAAAGACCACATACCACTTGCCAGTGTTTGATACCTGTCAGGAAGGCACAGTTTAATTTAGGAACAAATGGCAAAATGGCCCGTTTGGCCTGGGAGACTATGAGGACTGAACACACGTGATTTTGTAATTGGTTGCATTCATCTGTCTTTTATCAGCTTTCATTTTTGCGTGCGTATCCGTGTTATCTTATAAGATCCCCAACTATGACCCCTATTTAGTTGCAAACTAAAACCAGCTTATTTCAGAAGGTAAGAAAAGAATTTTTCAAGCTGTTCTTGAACACACAGGAGTTAAATACTTGGTATGTTTGGAAATTCAGCATTAGAAATTTTGAGACTTTATGGTAGGACACAATGTATGAACTAAAGGAATTTTGTTGCCTCATTTTGGATGTTGCTCTTTGATGTCCTTCATTGCCACACCCAGATAAATAATGTGCTTTCTCCTTTCGCTCCTTTTCTCCGCATTCTGAACCAAGAAGAAGAACATGAATTGTGTAGGGATTAAGAAACGAACACCAAATCCATTTCTTTTTGAGTTGTTGATTTTTTTTTTTTTTTTCCTTCTTCCTCTTTTGCAGTGGGATTTGTTCCTTTTCATGCTTCATGGTCTTGTAGAACGTCAGCTAATGAGAACAAGTGAAATAGAGAGTTGCCTGCACAGCCTCAAAGAGCTCCCTTGGCCTTCAGTAAGTAATTGGATGTGTGTGAACAGTAAGTGAAATAAAAAGTAAAGCTACATAAACAGTGAATCTTGCAGTTCTATTTCATGTAGATGAAGCCCATAACCTTCCCTATCTATAGTTCCTGCTTAATGCAGCAGCAGGACTGGCTTCCAACAACTTGTTACTGTTACTAGTGTTTGGTTGAAATCTGTACTTGTGTGAATCCCAGCATTTCCCATGCAATGGAAACATTTCCAAGAAAATTGTAAAGCAGTTTGGAGACCAGCTGGCTCAGTTGCCAGCTCTCAGTTCTAGCCTGAATGTGTTTGCCGTGCTCCAGCTGAGAAGGACATGTTGGGAAGGGTCTTAACTGACCAGACATGCATTTAACCCTCTTTGCCTCCTACCACCAGAATGTTGAGAGGAGTCAGACTATTCTAGCCAGAGTCAAAATGTAGGAAACAGCCCAAGACCCTTGCTAAAAAGCAGACAGTATTTCAAGGCTGGTGAGCGCTTGCATATTGGAGATGTTTAACCATTTAAACTGTGGCAGTGATCTTTTCTGAGAAGGGTGTGGGGATTGGAGGGGAGACTGAACATGTAGACCTACAGGCGTTCATCTTTACAATCGGTTTTGTAGCTTGTCTAGGTTTCTGCACTGGAAAACCATCAGCAGCATGTTTAACCTTGTGAAGTACTCTACTAGAAAAACTAAGTAAGCCTCTGTTGACATGTGTTAATAAGGGTTCTCTGGTTTGTATCTGTTTGTTACAGGATTTTTTAAAAGAACTGGAAATGCTGTCCAGAGTATTTATATCAGAAGATCATATAGAAGAGCCCAGGACTAACCCTTGTGAGCTGACCAGACAATCTCTAGGTACTGTGACAGCACAAAGTTAGTGGAGGTGGACTCTGTGGACAAAAACTGCTAATGAAGACGTAGATGGAAATTTTAGTGTTTCTGAATGCATTGTGAGCTCTTTGCTGGGCGCATACTGCAGATAAGAGGTCACTTCGTGCAAAACGTGCACTGGTCTTCCTGTTCATGGACATTTTGCCATGGTGACTATGCTGAAGGATTTACATCAGCAAACGGATCTCCAAGTCAAAAGTCCTTTAAGCACCTTGATCGTGGCTCAGAGCAGCCCTTTTTTACTCATAGACACTTTTTGTATTTCGCAGCAACAGGCTGTGACCAAACCCAGGAATCTATTCAAGTGGACAAGTTACTTCGTGATCAGAGAGATGGTTTCCTGGTGGCTGTCTCTTCTCTTAACTTAATGTGATTTCTCATGCTGTCTTTTAACAAAGACTGTACTGTCAGGGGAGGGAAAAGGTGAACCTGTATGACATGGAGATGAGCCTATATTTATTTTTCATTGTAAGCTCAATTTTGAAGGTTTGATTTTAATTTTTTTAGGACTCATTTTAAAAGTTAAACCATATTAAATATATACACCAGAACATTGATGGCATTATTCTTAAAGGATGTAGATGCTTAAGTGTTTTCCCATCTCTTGTTGGAAACAGGACTTGTAATTTCCTGGGGTTTTTAATAGAAATAAGGGAGAAAATATCTGTTATATTTTTTACTGAAGACAGATGACAGTATTTTTTAACACACTTTTACAGTATGTGAACATAAGTGGCATCTGGCTGCTATTCACTGTTTTTTATAATCCTTCTTGCCTTGAGTTTGGGTTTTATCAGACAGGAAGTGCTGCAGCAAGAATACTACAGCCTGGAAGAAGAGACAAAAAAGTAGCTGTGACATCCTCTGGAGAGCTGGTTTTGAAACGAATCCTTTTCGAGGAGAACAGTGGGTGTTTTCTGCCCTTGCGGATAGATCCATCACCAAGGGTGTAACTCCCATTCACCCCCCCAAGTATTTCCTTAAACCGGGGTTTGTGGTAGGGACTGCTGGTGGTTAGCAGAATATGATTAGGTGCTCATTAGCTGTCTCTTGGGATTTTTCCCCCCCCTGTAGCAGTGAGGATATTACTTTCTTTTGTCTAGGAGTGTCCTTTTAGTGCAGGTTTTTTCAGAAAGCAAATACTGTGTTATCTAAGAACAACATTTGGACGTAGTGAAACCCAGGGCTTTTTAGCTTGCTAATTAACTTACCTCCTCCTTGTACAAGGTGAAAAAAGGTAACATCTTGGAGTCAGTGATTTAAGAAAAACCACAAACAGGACTAACTAGGTAGAACTGTGGCTTCTGTTAAAATATATGTGATACAGAGAGAGAAACCATAGAGGCACAGCAGAGACTGAACTGTACTGAGATTTGTCTTGACTTGGTTACTAAGCACTGTATTGAAAGATTTGGCATGTTCCATCTGCATGCCTCATTTTAGGGGTTTTCTGATGTGAATGAAGCAGAGGGTCCCTAGAAGTAGCCATGCTGTGTATGCAGCAAGGACATAGTAATACAAATTGAAATAGCACGTACTCCATATCATACCATATCTGCTCCCTGAGGCTGAGTATTATGTGACAGTTTGCTGCAGATCTCATTTGAAGTTGTTGTTTGTCATAATAAACATGATTAAATGTCCTGTTTTGTGTTCAAGCTGTCGATATATAACCTCTTTGTACTGGGCCAAAGTACAAAAAAGGTGCCTTGCCACAAAGCATGGGGCAGAGAAAGTATAGTAATATCTCCTGTGCGGCCTGCTGCTTTGCTTATACTGAAATACGACTTTATTTTGTTATATATATATATATAATACAACTTTATTTTGTTATAATGTGGGGGTGGTGGAAGGGGGAAGAAGCTGGAATCCATAATGGTAAAAAAGGTGTTCTTGCCTCTGGAACTGACTTTATTTGGGTGTTGCAAAACTGTTCGCATAGATAACGTGGCCACAGCTGTTTTCATGAACTCAACATACCTGAATTATCCTTTTCTAATACAACATGCTTGGAAATTTTTATTTAAAAGGTGACCAAGCCCCAGGAGCAGTTTACTACACCCAGAGAGCATAGTTGTGCCCTATGGGGCAGAAGGCAGTCAGTTCTTCAGTGGGAATCAGCAGGTAAGAAACACCTCTGTTTCTGTGTTCTTATGTCTTAATGCAGTTACTCTAGTTCCTGGGCATCCCATGGTACTCAGCCTTGGTTGCTCTGTAAAGCCAGACACCCGACTTTGTAACTAAGCCTTAGGAACGAGTGTATAGCACGCTGTTTTCTGCCTAGGGATACTCAGCAGTGGGACCACGCTCATGAGGATGCATGACGCCCTGCAGTCCCCCTGGGCTGGTGGAGCCCTCGGCGTGAGTGCTGCAAGCATTGTGCCTGTTCTCTGTGCGCTGCCTCCAGCTGTAGCGCAAGCGGCGCTGCAAGGAGAGCAGTAGGGAGAAGAGAGCTCACAGCAAGCTAGGTCAGCGTGTGGCCTTCCTTCAGTCAGTCTTTCCTACTGCAAAGTCACAACTCTCAGAAGAGAAGGAGGAAAAATGGCATTATATTAACTTCCTTCTGGATGTTCAGGTCAGAGGAGTTGTGTAACTGGACTCAGGAAGAAGCTTCAGCCAGTGCCTCGTTTCAAAAAAAAAAAAAACCCAGACAAAAAAACCCCTTTTGCTTGGACAAGGCACTGCGTCACAAAACCAAATTTAAGCAGTGACTGGCTTCTTGACTCTTGTGCCACAAATTCATATTCCATGCGCATTCCTCAGCAGGTAAGTAGGAGACCTACATCTTCTATCACAAGCTAGCCTTTATGTTGTTTCTCCATCCAGCGTAGTTCCATAGATGGGTACCTTAGCTGGAGCAAAACACCGTGGGGCACGTTTTCTTGTGTAGAAAATACCATTTATTGTGGATGTGAAAATAGCAATCTTGATTAAGAGCAGAGATGCAACAGTAGGTGGTACAATACAATTGGTTTGATCATCTACTGCTCAGCAGTAACTTACAGGAAGTTGGTTTTTGCCCATTGTAGATTAACAAATTAGATATCTGCTGGGTTTTTTTTCCTTCCTTCCAAACAAACCAATGCCGTACATTAACGGGTACCATAAAATGTTATATTTGCAAAAGAAAACATTCATACAAATAGGCTTTTTAGTATCAATTGAAGATTGTATTAAAAAAAAAGTTACATTAATTCAATACCGATAAAAATAAAACTTAGCTTTGATAGCATATAAAAACGCTTCAAAACAAGCATATATAAATAACTTAATTTGTAAACATAGAAAAAAATCTTATGTATATATAAAAATAAACATCTGATGCACTATACAATAAGACATTATCCTTCATAGGCACTGGCATCGTTGATCAACAGGAGTCCCCCTAGATGTTTTTCCTACAGAAACTGCTTTATCACTAGTGCCATGTCCAAAATAAAAGGGAAAAAGTGAAGCACTGAGCAAATCTTTTGTGGAGCGTGTGAAGACCTCCCCGACCTCCTCTGGAAATCCATGGAAGCAGCACGGGGGACAGAGCCAATACACTGTGCTGCTGTTTCTGCTCGTTTTTTCTAGGGCTGTTAGGTACTGCCTTGTAGGCTCTTCCTTTCTTGGTTTCCACCAAAAGGGGGGGACTCTATGACAGGTTGCAAATCTGGAAATCTGTCTTTTTGCTCAGTTGAGAAAACTTTGTGACAGGTTGCCCCTTTCTCCTTGAGGGGCTATGGAAGATGCATGACACTTGAAGTGAAACATGCCACGATTCAGTTTGGCAGGCTTTTAAGAAAAGGCTGAGCCTCACCAAAAGAGACCAGTAATATATTGGTGTTAAGATTGTAACCAGGACCATCTAAAGATAAAACAAAGCAAATTTGTAAGTGAAAAGTTTTGTTATCCTACCTAGTATAGTTCAGGGGGGAAAAAAAGCCTTGGGCTGGTATGTCTCAAAACTGCTATTTTCTTAAATATCAATTTAAAATAGCGATTATTTTTTCTTTTAAAACTTAATATATTAATAACAGGAAGTAACATAGAAGCTGAGAGCCAAAATTACACCTGTGCAAAGATATAGTAAAAGTAGATTTTGGCTCTTGAACTCAAAGGTGGGAAGTGCGGCTAACTTCCCTGTATGCTGGGAAAATGCATCTTTTACTGAAAGTAACTGTGTTAAAGTAGCAGACGCTGACTCTGGTAAGTTGGATGCTTGAATACATATCTCTCACTTGACAAATTTAAAGTGCAACAGCTTCTTGAACAATGTGGGCTTTTTTGAGCTAAAGAAAGCATATCACAGCAGCTTTTATTGCTTAGGTAAGATATCTAAAGTGATTCTTTACTGTTGTGCTGAAGAACTAAATGAAGTTATTCAGATATTTGAGTCGGTTGTGGTTTTGTTTAATTTTAGGAATGTGCGACTAAACTAGGGAGTGTGTCGAACAAACATGTAAAGCCTGACAGCAGGATTGTTGGACTAAATTCAACAGAAATACCATGAGGTAATTGAATGGGAAGAGTCTGTAGTCACTGCAGTGAGACAGCTGGTCATGTTATGAACAAAGAATTGCGATAAGACTATGACCAGGCTTGATTTTTAACTCTTAATGCATTTGGGTAAAAGTGTAGAAGGGCTGATGGAAAAAGCCATTGTGGAAAAATGCTGTAACTACTCTTATTTGCAGGATTTAAATTTTAGAAACAAGCTGAATTCTCAGTACTACTCCCTAGTAATTACAAAGTGTGACTGTTTACAACTGTCAGTTTGGTTTCTTTATTTCAAAGCACCTAATTCTGCAGTGCAGTAAAACTGTGTCCTGAGGTGTGGCGGTTTCCACTGATGCTGCATAGTGTAGTGGCAATCTGAAATACCTTGTATTGGCTGCAAGTAGTCAGCCAATTTCATGAGAAAAATCTACCCAGGGTGTAGGATGACTAGTGGATATCGTGCTGTTTTAACTTCCCTTCTGAAGGGGAAGTACAGGCAGCTAGCTAAGTTAAATGATTTATCTGCACTGTTAGGAATTCTGCATTTGATACTTATCTCAACATTAGAAAGTGGCCTTGCAGCTCTGCTCAAGAGCTTGTAAAAGGTCTTAAGCCATACATGTACTGTTTCCAGTTTGTGGTGCATTTCATTGCTTCCATTGCCTTTTTCTCACTGCTGCCTAAACTTTCTTAAAGAAAGAAGGTTGATCTTTGAAGCTCCTTGGAAACAGAAATTAAATAATAGACTTCTGCATGTAAGATGCTGGCCATTGTAAAGCGAAGTCTCTTCCTCTGCTCTTTATAGAGACAGCACACTTTCCTGCTGTTCATGGAGGTTTTCCACAGCTGTCTTCAGGAGGACAGGTTCCCCATAAAACTTGCTGGGTTTCTTCTGAGCAGCGTTGGCTAAAATAAATGATCCTTTTTCTAACTATACTTTTGTATAGTCCATTAGCAGTTAGGCTTCTCAAGTGAGGCTTGATTGTGACTAATGAGCCAGCATTTTACATTACCTTTACAGATGCTCGTGTCTCTTCGTGAACTTTCAGCTGTTGTTAAGTGTCCAGTTTTGTACCAAACGCTAACTAGCAAGAAAGTGTGCCAGTCGAGCAATCACCAGAGGCTGTCGCTTAGCAATGGAACTCAGGAGCCTTGCGGGGATAGCTGGGGCACCGAGATCCACCTGCAGGAATGAGAAGAAAGGCCGTATGTTGTGGTTTCTACCTGTTGTTGAACAAAACACTTCTCCAGCCTGGAACAGCTCTGGTGTTGCAAGTATACGTTAAGCGCAAAAGTAGTTCACAGCCAAATGCTGTCATTACTGTGTGGTTTGTATCTTTTCCTTCCCAGTACTCCATAGACTTTCAAAGCTTTGCTATTTGATGTTACTTGCAGCAGGTACGACCCACACTGCTTTTGAGTTTGAGCTTAGATTAAATATTATTAGTTGGAGACAGATACAGCGTTACGGAAAATGTAGATGCATATACTAAAGTGCAACATAAAATACATACAAAATTTTAAAATGCATATACATTACACATAAGCATTGTAAAATGCATATACTAATTACTATAATTTAAAGATAACATTTTTTAAATTGTAGCTTAAAAACATGTTTTATAGGTAAGTTTAAAGGACTAATGCCATTTAGCTCTCAGATGAGCACTTTAAAATAAATTATACACATTATGGTATTCTCTTCTGGACATTTTTAAGTACCACTGTCTCAAAGAGAGCCTACTTTTCAGGTAAGTCTGTAATAAATGGATGGCAGGATTTTCTTATTCTTAACTGGAATCCTAACCTTGACTTCTCTTTTATATCTGTTAAATGTGAAGAATTAATGACTTCAGTTAAAAAAAGTTAACAAGAAGTATTTCCATGCATTTTGAAAACAGTATAACCCAAAGTGGACTTCCTGTGTCCACAGCAAGATGAAAATGCAAACAAGACTCTCCCGACTGGCTCACCATGTGAGAATGCAACACATACTAAAATTGCTAATAAACCTTTACAGAAGAGTCTTGGTATCCAAGGGAGCAGCTTTAGATGCTGTGAAAACTTGGGATCGTGTGCTTAAGCACAATCCTAGTAAGATTCTCTCTGCATTACTGTACATCATGCTAGATAACAGTGTGAAGTAGAACGACTTTTATGGTCATTTCATGGAGCGTAGCATAAGGATTACATTTTTTGTTACTTTTGTTACCAGCTCTTAAGTGTTCTGATGTGTAACGGCATTTTGCATTCACAGTTGGACATGGAGCAAAATCTTACCTGCGCCATGTAAATAACTCTGGTGACATCTCTTCCATTCACTACATCAGGTTCCAGTATCCAAGCACTTGGCAAAATCTCCCCTCTCACCACTTCTTTACAAGGGTGAGGCATGGATGCATCGCAGACAGACTGAATAGCCAAGACAGACAGGTTCTCCTGCATGTGACGAAGTGTAAAGATGACAAGCTGAACAAATTTTTATGCATATAGTAATGTTTTCTTTGTTTGCCATGAGGCATATTTCTCATATTACTTACTTAAAAGAACTCTTTTAATAAGAAATAATATTTCTTGTGTTATTTATTAAATAATTTTTTGTCATAATCTTGCATGTTTGTAACCAGAATATACTGTGTAACACTTGTGTTACTGCCTAGTGGGGCTTGGTTGACGATTGTCATTCACAAGAGGGGTTTATACATAATTCACTTGTGTCGTATCAGCATGGCTTTTCTTCCTGTTACACTGTCACTTCTGGAAATATGCACATGGACTTCCCTTCCTTCTCTCCTTTGTCCTTGAACCATGAGTTCAGAACAAGTACTCTTCTCTGCTTCAGAAAGAACGTTCACTTTACCTCTTTGGCTTCTACAGTAATGCAGCAGAAATCCCGGGGTTGCTTTAGGTAACATAGGGAGGTATCGGTCACTAAATATACTGTGGAAAAAAACACCCAA